TTTCCCACACGCGCTGAAATTAACAAATTAAGAATTATAATTATAAGGTTTTTATTATTTATTTCTAGCAACATATTACTTTGATTTAATTATCTTTTTAAAAAAATCGAAGTTCTCTGTCATGTCTAATTAAACAATGCGAAAGTTATGATGTTGTATAGAAGGTTATATGTGTGATTGGTCACTTTTTTTATCGGAAGGTCGACTCCCAAAGAGAAAGGGAATGAGTCCCGAGACCGCTAAAGTGACGCGAGATAATAGATGTAAGGCGGGAAAAAGCCGAACAAGGATGAAAATCTGGCCAGACGGCCGCGACTGGAGGGAATCCAGGAAAATCCGTCCACTCACTGACGATGCGATTAATCAAAGCCGCGTGGCGAAAACGAACGCCGCGTAAATTCAAACGTTTTTACTTCAAAGGTAAGTGAAGGATGTAATTAAATCGGGCGAAATGCTCTTTAAGTATTTCAAATGTACGTACATGTATGTATACGTGTATTTTAATATTTTTAATACGATAATGGAAATATTGGATTTAATATTTTTTGCAAGAATAATAATAAATAAATAATTATACTTTACTTATTTTAAAACGTATATAATATATAGGTAAAAACACATCATTGTATTGATTACTATTAAAACATTGAATAGATAGATTTTATTAATATTATTATGTAATAATAATTATATAATTATTATGTAATATTATTATATTATAAATAGATTTTCTTCTTCATTATTTTTTTAAATAGCACTGCTTTTTAATACCGGATAAAGAAAATAGTATTCATAATCGACCGTGATTTGATAGAAACTGCGCTTCACTCATCGTGCGTTAACCCTGGCCCTATAGTTACGCAAGAGACGATCTATAGATCTCTCGATCAGAAACAATGGTCCTTAAGATAGACTGCTCTCACGACACATGGGAAGAAGTATTGCTTGAGACTCACGATCTTCTCAAATATAATTATACCCCTATACAGGTATATTATAAAACTTATAGATACACTTGTAACGATCGATGAATATAAAACGCCTAATGCATATTTATTATACTGTTAAGTATATACAAATGATGTATTTGAGCGTAATTTACAAAATAAATAATTTAATTTGCTGTTATAAATTGCATTATTCTTAAAGATATCCGAAAAATATATAGAATTTTTAACAATTAATATTTAATTAATATTATTCGTAAAGTCTGATATTTTTGATAAAATATTGATGTCAATAGTGTCGCAGTAATTTTTATATGTTAATTACAGCATTCAGAATTGAAACTGGACCTAATTTGTGACGTGGAAATTTATTTTATATATTCAATTTTTTTTATATTTTTAAATTGTATAATTCAAAAATGTATAATATTACTTACTTTTTTATTTATTATTATTACATTAAATTATATAGTATGTTATATAATTTAATTTCATAGACTGTGGATAAAAAATATTTATTTGTACGATTCAATTTAAATATAAATATTATTTAAATTAAATCTTTGGAATGAATATTTTTTTTTATTCAGTCTGAACATTTCGAGCAAAAGTAAGAAAAATCGTGACGGATGCTAATAGCTTTTAATGTGTTAAAACCATATTTCCATCACCATAGCGCTCACCTGGCTTGATCTCGCGTGGGTAAGCTTGCGCCCACGATCCATCCACGATGAGCAGCAGCAGCAGCAGCAGTGACACCACGAGGACCACCGAGATCCTAGCGATGCGCACCAAGGTCATCCTCTTGGTCCTGGCGCCAACCGAGCTCTGTTCTCCGGTACTGAGGGGTACTCCAGGCACTGATCGTCGCCGAGGCAAGGCCCTACGGTGCCGAAGGGGGATCGAAACAATCGATAAATCAGAACCCGATACCGGGCCGTGAGAGAGACGAGTGATGACCTTCCAGATCCAGGAGGTCACGTGCTGGTTGCACCGCGCCGCTGCCTGCGACCTCGGAACCTCTCTAAAGTCGGCGGCGGCTTCGATGCCAGGCCAGGCGAGATTTGAAGTGTATGTGTACCGAGTACTCACGGCCGCTAGTGTCTGCGGCGAGCGAGACGGGCGAGTAAGTGAGGATCGAGTGAGTGAAGATGGACTGACAGACGTGCGGGCGTACGCACGAGTCAATGAAGTGAGTGGTACTTACCCGTAGGAGCCCTCACCTTACCCAACTCGGACCACCTCGCCTCTTCACCCCCCCACCCTTCACCACGTCTCACTTCTCGCACGCACGCCTCTCTTTTACCTCTCGCTTGGCTCTCTTTTCCATCGTCTTCCTCCTCTTCTTCCGTACTGTCTTCTTCTTCTTCTTCTTCTTCCTCATCTTTCTCCTACTACCACTCATCTCCTTCCCCTCTTTCTTCTCCTGTTCTTTCTTCACCATCTTTCCTTCTGCGTCTCTTATTCCTTCGCCTCGTTTACTTCCCTCTTCTTTTTTTACCTTATATTCGACTTACACAACTGTTAATTAGCGAGTATTTATAAAGGATTCAGTTTTCAATGATAAAACAATCTATATAACTGGATAATACACGTATTTTAAACATTTTTGAGTGATATAAATTAACACGTTTTAATTTCAAGTGGAAACATTAATTGACGTATAAAGAATCATAGAAATTATATTCATGAAACTCTCATAGAGAATTACTTTTCTCTTTAAAGTTTTATGTTGTTTAATAGCAAATAGATTGTTTATTATTTATTACGTAATTGTGTCGTTCATTCTTTCTTTTATTCTCGTATAATTTTCTTTGTACCACGTAGATTGCTCTACTATCGGCACTTTTCCTTAAAAGTGCAACAGAAAGATTTCAAATCTCGGAAACTTCTGTACAGCGTCGCCTTGACGATTACTTTTATTACGATTAAAGGATTCTACGAGTAATTAGCAAACTTTCTCTTGACGATAAGTCAAGAGGAATTTTACAGTGCACAATTTTATTATTTTCTGTAAAAAATAGCTTAATTTGTAAATATCAATACAAGGTTGTAAGCAGTAAGGATCATGATTTTATTCTAATTTATTTAGCATAGAAAAATATTATGGTTGACACGTACAATACTGGATTTTTCCTTATAAATAATTTCTTAATTGAAACGAATTCTTAATCATGAAGAAACGTATGCCATTAATTAAAATGTAAGCTGCATGTTACATGTTTTTCAAAAGAAAATTAACAAATAAATTTACAAATACATTTAATACTTTCTTAATCACTTTTTTAATTTCTTCAGATTCATTTAGCGTATTTTTATCAAACATTATAAATGTGAAGTACTCAATAAACAAGTTTATACAAATATGTACAAATATGCAAATTTCTATACACAAAACATATATTATTTTATCTTAATTATTACGAAAGATAGAGGACAGTTAAGTAATAACAAAAGTTAACACCTTACGGTCAATTTTTCAGTGGAAAATATCTCTCCTCGGAAAGAACTGGTTAATTATGATTCGAGGAAATTGAAAGGTGACGAATACGCGAGTATTTTTGACACTCTGGCACATTCCCTCGCACATTGGCCTTTTGTTCCTCCCGGCTCCTTCACTTACCTACCTCCGTCGTGTTGTTTCTTACCGTTCGCCGCACTGTGTTTCCCACACGCTTAAACTTTGCACCTCCATTTATCCAATATCTTTCTCCGTGCGGAATAGCGCCGGTAATCCCTCGCGTGCAAACATCTCCAAGATCGTGGTCCATTCGTGCCGCGATGTTTCGCTCGCTCGCGCGCGCGCGCGCGCACGTGCGGACGACACGCGGTAATTTTATTCTGGCGCTACCTAAATAACTTCGTTACTCTCTCGGACGAAAACAACCTGGAGTTATTTCATCCCTTCGTACGATCCCCACCGCCTCCTTCTCGTACCTCATCTGCGAAGGTACGAGGAAGGAAAACTCTTTCTCTCCCTCTTCGTTTCTCTACCTCTGCTCCTGCTTTTCTTCGCTTTGTCTTTTCACGACAATCACGACGCGAACGCAAACCAAGATGCAGCCTTCATCACTTATTTCCCGCGTTTCTTCCCATTTCTCTGCAATGTAGTCGGTGCTATGCTCGCAAAGCCGGCTGTTCTTTCTATGCAAGGATCTCGGACTCATTTCCCACTACTTAATTTGTATAAGCATTCCTTCTTCTCTCGCTGAACACGACGCGATATTTCTTCCTCGCAATTACGCCATTGTAGCAATTAAAACTATTAGGATTGTGTAAGAACGTGGAGCGTTTGTTCTTGTATAAAACCAAAAGAGATGAAATAATTGAAATCATTAAATAGAATAATATAATAATTTTCCAAGTAAGTAAAATAAATAAAATTAACACTGATGTATTGTATAGCGTGATATCAATATCATATATTATATTATATTTAATAACATTAATATACATTATATTAAAAGTGGACGTCAATAAGGATGAAAATATAATACACAGAATAATTTTTGTTTTATTTAATTGATTGTAATCACATCGCTTACCCGGAAGAAAAATAACACAAGTAAAAATTTCTCGTATCATGTGGATCTGAATACACATCGGTTTTCAATTAGGAAAAGTGATACTAATTGAATAGAAAAGAAAAAAATTAAAGGACAATATAATAAACAATAATAGTTTTTAGAGGTCTAATGTAACAATTGATATCTACACTACTTCTAGATTTGACACTTAAAACAAACAATTTGTAATAACAGTTTTGATTAATTTATGTTTAATACTACTGTAATTAATTTTTAAGTATGCAATTTTCTTCTCTCTTTCCTAAACAATTTTATATTCTTAACTTGTATCACTATTCTTGCAGGGATGTAATATATGTTGATTATATTTTTTGGAAATTTTACTGTAATAGATGTCGCAATACAGGCTTTAGCTTCCGTTCGACTGTAAGTGTATTCGACTTTTCCCTTTTAGCTGCAATACGACAAACTACATTGCGTTGTAAAGGCCGCACTGTCAGCCGTAAAACCTTTCGCGAGGCATTCGCGAAATATTGATTCTCGTTGAAAGCAGTTTGGACGCAGCTGAGACCATCGCGGTGCGGATATACTTTTTCGATGAACGGCAGTACGCATTTTCACAAATTTTCGATAATGGATAGCACAATGCGTCGAAATGCCGCGCCACTGCCTTTTCCTCGCGCGTCAGGAAAAGCTATTGTGCGGATATTGTGAATAAAATGCATTAACTAGAATCGGTTCTGTGTGGCTTTTCGGTTACTCGCTGAACCAAAACAGATCACTGCTAGCAAATCGGCAGAAACAGGCAACTGGTGGTTGACGGTTGAACGTAGAAATATAAATGGCGCCTAAAAAGAAATTATAATTAATAAAAATATTTGCTTTCTTAACATTGCAAATAATATATTGTTAAACACTAGAAAGTTATAACTAATTATTCTTTATTTAGAACAATCATTTAATTTTTTATTATATTTACGCTCAATTGTAGAAGAAATTCTCTTTTATAATTATTTGAAGTAATATAAAGTTAATTAGATTTATTTGATATTATTTCGCTCTATGATTAATAAATTACTTGTTTTAAATTTTGCCATCTTAAAGAAGAATTGAAAAATGTATTTACTTTATATGAAAAAAAGAACTCGTCATGGAAGCTTCGACATTATCGCTCTGTTTTAGTTGGAAGAAACTTATTCCATAAAAATGTAGCGAAAAACGATCGCTTTCGCAGATGGGCAAATATTATACGAAGTACGAACAAATGTGAAGCAAGCACTCGCATGTGGAATGACCAATGAAAGAGGCTGAGACCGCAAGAGAAAAGCGTACTGTGGACAAGTCTATCCATCTTACTAGACAAATCTGGGGAAGAGGAGTCTCGAACGTACGAGGCCTCTCATGGGGCTTAATAACAGAAAAAAAAGATACTTACCTGTAGACTTGGAAGTCACGAGATGCTGAGCGATCGCGCGACAACATCGAAACGGAGTGGTTTTATACAAGAACGAGAATGTCACAATATTGATCTCCCTTGTTTCAGATTTTACATTACGCTACATTGACATTGATCAGCAAATAATATAAACAAAATAGTAAATATTATCAATAAATTTATGTATAATACATTATGAAGTTAACAATATTATACGTATTATATGTATTATATATACTATAATATTATATGTATTATAATATTAATATAATTTTTTATAATTTATGTAATATACGTATATAAAATTTAATATAATATATATCAATTTTGGAAGAATTTTAAAATGAAATTTACGTACGTTTTCATTATTTTCTATATGCACATTTATTTTTTTATGTACTTATTATGAATTCATACCTATTTTGTTTTTATTATTATTATAAATTTATACGTAAATATTACATTTATACGTAAATTCAACATTTCCGAAAATTTCTGTTTAAAATAAACGAATATCGTAAGCTTGTTCGCACCATTTTACATCGATTTACAGTCGCATCTATTTAGGAGACTAATTGTGATGTCGGGACGAGAATGAAGAGATCATTACGTCGTACATCATCCATTTATGGCCGCGTAGCCATCTGGTCGCTCAGCTTCGCATGAAGATAGAACCGTTTCAAACGAAAGCTGACCTCCCGTGAGTATCGAGTATTTTGTAATAAGATAGAGATTCATCGGGCTTCGATCGAGACTATGATTAATTTCCATTTTTCTACCACATTCTCTTCAGCATCTTATTCTTCTTCGTTGTCTTTCTTCAGTTTTCCAGGTTGTTTTCAAAGTCTTTTTGTAAGCCTTCTTAAAACATTATTCTCACGAAATTAAACTAGCTGAGGCATCCAGTTTTTCTTAATAAACTTTTATTTCTGTATAATTGTTTTTTAAAGACACCTCGACGAAAAACAATCATTTTATTTTTTATTTTACATTATTTTCTATTTATATAATGTTTTCTTTTTTGAAAAGATTATATTCAAGAAGTTATATTATAAAGATGATCTCTTTCTCTCTCTTTCCCCCTCTCCCCCTCCCTCTCTCTCTCTCTCATTCACTCATTCAATTATGTCTCATCATTCCTTAACGCAAATTAAATTTAGAAAATTACTATTTTATAGAAATTTATTGGATTTAAATTCTCGGTTGTTAAAAAACTTCGGAAATCGATTCTTGTCGATCAAACAAGAAATCCAGACTTTCTGTAATTGGTTCCGTTCGATGTTCCGGGTCGTTGTTTTCGAAATGTCAAAGATACGAATAACTTTCGCAATCTCGTAGTCTTCCGCCGAAGTAGGTGTCCATTGATCCATGCATGCGGCGCCGAACGAGAATTCATTGACTCGATGAAGAACTTCAGCGAGAGAACAGTGCTCCACGACGAAACGGGGTTCTGGGTTTCCAATTCTCGATTGGAAACTTCCCACACTTCTCCCACACTTTCTAGTTGGAAGTCAACCCAATAATTTTATGCGCTTTTGAATAGCATTCTGCTTTATTGTCAACGCGTGAAAAATGCGAAAGCGTTACGTAACGCAAATCGCTTCCGGAGGTAATTATGCTGAAGTTAAATAAAAGAGATGATTGCTGAAGAAATTGCACATCAAACAGAAATCGATGTGACGGGAAAAACACTGCGATATATCTTACACTCTAATTAAAATCATTATTATTAACAATATATTGTTTATTATTTATTGTTTTTCGATTTATTGACATTTGAGAACATCATGAACTTGTTCACAATTTTCTTAAAAAAGTAAATAAAAATCAAACAAATATTAAGCAGAATAAACACGTTAAAAAAAGTAACAAATTATTTTTTAAAATACGTTTAAAAATACATTTCTAGAAAAAGAGTATTTCTAAAAATAATTAAGATTTTATTATAACGCTATTATTACGGGTTTTCTATAAAATTGCACATTTAACATTTTGTGAAGAATAGTTATCAAAAAAGAAAGAAAATAATATTCGTTTTACAATATTTAAATTTTTTAACGCTGAAGCGATAAAAACACTGCAAGTGATTTTCAAGCTTATTTAAGCTAATCAATTAGACTCAATTTTATCAGTTAATTAAAAGCAAAAGATATAATGAAATCGTACTAAAAATTACTCTTTTGCGCATTAATAATATAGCAAGTGCGATATCTATTATATATTACATAATATATTACAATAATGTACCCTCTTATAAAAGTAAATCAATTAAACTCACAATTTTATCAGTGAATTAAAAGCAAAAGATATAATAAAGTTGTACTAAAAATTATTCTTTTGCGCGCTAATAATAGCAAATGCGATATCTCTATCATATATTATATATATTACAATGATGTACCTCTTATAGAAGTAAATTACGGCCATCATATAATATTAATGTATGATATAATTATCATATGAATCGAAAGATTTTAATGTGTTTCTAATCAATATTAAATTACATTATAAAGCGAATTATAAGATGGCAAAATGTGCGTAAAAAGAAAATTATTTGTATCATGAGATATGCACTGCGGCACACACAATTGCAAATACATTGAAGAAATAACTGGATTATTTAAGAATAGAGACTCGTCATCGAAAGTTTATAAATTTTAAAGTTCTCACAATAATTAATATTTTTCATTATTACTATGTATACATTAAAAGTATTAAGTTATTGCCACTACGTATATCAATAATATTATACATGTTTTCAAATTGTATAAAATTAACAATTATTGTTGTTGTTGTGTCAAAATCGATGCAAAGGCCAAGGTAGCGTTTTCTTTGGCAGAGCACGCACTTGCACAAGTGCGTTAATTTCCGTGAATCCACCAGCGCCAGGAAACGATTTCTTGCCGCGACACGACATCGGATAACAGGTGGAGAGGCACGGGGAATCCCGTCGTCGGTGATGATGTCTCCGACGACAACGCGGCAGGCGGTCGGCTTCTTTCGTACAACTTCTTCGAGGGCGACTCTAGATCCATGTTTCATGAGTTACCTCGCGCACGTCGGAAAGGGTTAAGGCCACCGCGAGTACCGCGAAAGTAGCGATCGCCACGATCTACGCGGTCTCCCAAGACTTCCCCTTTCACAGGGGAAAACTGAAAATCTCGCGGAGTTCTCGGAGATGTCGCAATGTTCCATTTCTAAATGT